TGGCATGCATTTTTTGCCGAGCAAGAAAATGCATGCCAAGGCTTAAAGCAGCAACAACGCTACACATAAAAACTGATGATGGTGGAAAAATACACCGAAACGTATTTTGATTGATAAATAGAGACAATAAATGACTGAAACCCAGGAATGAATTTGATTTGTAATTGAAACACAGCCAGTATATACAAAGTTTTCTTAACTCCAAATTGGTTTGCGATGATGATGACCGTGGGAATGCGAGAAAAACGACACGGCCGCCCATCAGCTTAATGATGATGTCGAGTTTTTTGGGCACTTATCCGACACGATTCGCCTAAACGCTCCAAGTCGAATGAAAGTGGCAATATTCTGAATTGTGCTGTTTTTCCGCTCAAAACCCCGCTAGTTCTACGTCTACGCACGCCACTAAAATATATCCGAAAGTTGAAAGTGTAAATTTCGGATTTTTCCCACTGAAGCTGCACAGAAGGCGTAGCCCACTCCTATTTCAAATTTATATGCATGCCCATAAACGTCGAAATACTTATGGAAAAAGTTAATTTCGCACGATTTTATGGCTATCACTGGTCGAATAGGCTCGGTTGCCGCATGCGGTTCCCTCGCATTAGCACTGAGTGCGATTATTTATCGATCATCGAAGTTCCCCTAACTATTGCAACTGACATTTCACATGTCACAATTGGGGGAGTGCTGTCAGTTTGATGGTTCAGATGTCAGTTGTCAAGTTTGAGCGTGACGGCGACACGCGTGCCACCCGTCGGCAAGCTCTATAGCGATGAAGGGAATTCCACTTTTGACTAGTTTGATTTTTATTCGGGGCCGAAAGATGAGCTGCATGAGACCCAAATGCATAATAAGGACGCGCGCGCGTGTCGTAAGCAAAATGATTTACAAGTACCACCGAAACCTTGTTATTGGCCCCTCATTTCATCATTTCACCGATGTGGAGCGCTCTTCATTTGCATTTATGGGCATCAAGTGAATGGCGCATCGCACAATCTCTGGCCGGGTACTTCTGGGTGCTTTCGTTTCGGCCCCCATGGAATATGGACGCAAAACCTGACGTCATTAGACGGGTTTAGCATTCCCGGTACCCGCGGACCACGCCCAGTGAGCGCAGCCTTGCCTGATGATGATTATGAAGATTATGGAAAAGGATGACACCGGTTTGCCTTGGCTTGCGCTCACTTTATATGGTACCCGACCGTTACCGGACCCGTACCGGGTGGAATGCAAAATCAAAATCCTCTTCCTGGTCATCTTCGGGTACCCTCACCCTGTTGTCAAAGCGCATTCCTCTGTACTTGTCTGTATTGACATTGCTGCAAATCAGACATTTGTCAACGTCACTAATGACAGTTGACATATGACACATTCAAACCGGTACCCAGCCGAACCGTTATGGCCGAGCAGTGAACATCTGCAGAAATAAATAACAACAAAAAGCCAATAAACAAACCCGATGAAATTAAATGTCCATCGACATTATTCTAATGGGTACCAAATTTGGCGAAAAGACGCAAAGTCGGATTCTAGCCGAACCAAATAGAGAGCAATTACGCCGCTTTTGGTGAATAAACGCTTTGAATATGTTCCCATCGTTACTTATACAGGGCGGGCAATAAACCAGGCTTCGGGTACGGGGCCCGCCAGCTTGGTCGTCCTGCAGACAACAGAAAAAATTAATTAACGAGGAAATGGCGAAATATCAAGTAGTGCAGGTAGCAATTTAGGTGGGCAGCGGCGGTAGCCTATTATAAAGCAGAATAATTGCCTTGAATTGGCCAACAATTATAGTAATTTTCTGGCCGAAATCAGACTTATGATAGGGGGGCTCTTTAAGTCTTTACATAACGAAAGGTCGAGCGCAACATCAAAAGAGGGCGCCACATCCGGGATTCCCCCCGGTTCCTAAAAGCCCATATCCCCTGCATCCGTTTGTACGATGATACGATGGTACGAAAGTGTTTCTATTGGTTGGAGATCTGTCAATTCGTCCGCCGTCTTACGAACGGAGGCCGAATTGACAGATCTCCAACCAATAGAAACACT